GAGGCAGAAGAACAGCTGGAGCCTGTTCCCAGTGTGCACATGTGCAGAGCTGCCAGAAGGCAAGAACAACTAAGAAAGCAGGGTCGACTTAAGAGTAAAGCCACACCTTGTGATTGGACCCTCCCATGGGAAACAAAAGAGGAATGTGTACTGTAAATAAAAGAAATTTTGCAGGAACCAAGACTTTGCTTCTTGCTTTTTAAGGAAGCTGGATCAGAACACAGCCAATGACTTACGCTCCAACACCACTCTAGTAATTTTACAGGGGATAGACTTTGAAGTGCTGAAAGAAAAGCTGCTGGAGAGTGTATGATTTTTGAAACCTAATGGTTTTAGTATTTTAGCATAGCATAGTGATTTTAGCATTTCTCACCTCCAGAGTCTCCTTGCTACAGTTCCTCTTCTGAAGAATGCTCAGAGGTTTTTTTTCTTCTACTAGTACTCATTCTAATACTCAGTTTTCGAAACGTTTGAGAGGTTTTTGGGACAGCATGTGTGAATGACAAGTCAAGCAGGGTTAATTTTCAATTCTGCCTCTCACTTTTGCTACTGCAATGAATAATAAAATTAATAAGATCACGTGAGAGCCAGTTTGCTGTAGAAGTGAAGCAGTGGTGGATTGCTCTTACCATCTCTACCAGATCGCGGACTGTCCATGCACGAGCCTGATGTGCGCTGTGCATGCACCTGACATGTGCTGTGCATGTGCCTGATGTGCGCTGTGCGTGCATGCGCAATCCACTGCCCCTGCGATACCCAGCTGCTTGTCCAGGGTGCATGCATGCTTTCACAGTGTGCCTTTTGGCATAAAATACAGCTATAGAGCACGGGTGGGCAGGTGGGCTAAACGACCCACCATACCGGTAACCTCTCAACTGCTCCAGGCAACTATTGGTACGGCCGTATCAGTCAGGACCGGCAGCAACCCACCACTGAAGAAATTCTACACCTTCCTTAGGTATAAAAGCTGGCTGGATGAGTTTCAGATAGTTATCCTCTCTCAGCCCAACCTATCTCACAGGGGTGCGAATCTGAAAAAAACAGAAAGCTGGAGTATTATGTATACAGTATTTGCCTGCTTGAGTGGAGCAATTTAACAAAGGAAGGATAGAAATATAATAATAATTTAAAAAATCAGATCTTCCTTCACCACTTTCCCTGGAGGAATTTTGCATGAAACCTAGAAACTACACATCACATCTAGAATTGTTTTACAATTAGCTTACCCTGATTTATTATGTTTTGTTCTAATTACCCTGGGTCTTTCAACTTTGTACTTCAGTTTTCATTGTACCATTCATTTTTTAAAAGAAACATGCTCTTACTGGTACAATTATCCCCTGATTATCTGATGAGTTTATCTTATTACTGTGTATAGTTAGCACAGCATGTTTAAATACAGAGTATCTTTTCTGTTGGTTACAGGTTTACCATTTATTGTTTTTGTGGACGATGAGTCTTCTAATAGCCCTGTATTTATTTATAAATTTATTTTTTAAAAAAATATGTCTACCTCTGGAGAAAAGACAGGACTGCCAAGCAATTAATAATATTAGAAAATGAAAACTCAGGCAGATAAAGGTGCATTGTCAGACAGTTTTTAAAGTACAAGATGCTAATAAGTCCCAGTGCCATTTTTAGCTCTACTAGTTGACTGAATTAATGAACAAATGAACTGAGTAAGAAAGAGTAAGAAAGAACTTTTTCAATTCTGACATTCCAATTATGAAACAGATAAGTTGGATTAAGGTATAATGTGGCTACTTTCTTTTTCTCCAAGACTCAGTTTTAAACTGTATTTTTCTTATTTGCATAATTAACTTGTATTTGGTTGTCGGCCTTATTTAAATTTAGCTCAGTGTTAAGTTTGTTCAGATCAACTAATACAGGTGACAGTCAAATATAAACTAATCAATAACCATTGATACCTGCATTATGATTACAATTCCCATTCTTCTCGTGAGCATGAGAAATACACAGGAACCACAATTACATTTATGTTATCTGTTTATTTTCTACCACCAAGGTAGATGGAAGACTTAAATGGAGCATATTTTCTAGGAAATGAGAAATGCCACCTGGGCTAAAAAGTTTGAATATTTTCAGCAAATTATAAGATATTAATAGCTTTTCTTTGTTTTTAAGGTTTGATCTTTGGTTTACTTTTTGATTATAAAATACAGGACATTATAGATTCATGATGAAACTTCTTGTAAAATACTTCTAGGACCATTTTCTTGAATTATAATGTTTTTTACCTTTCTGAGTGCAATGTATGAATTAACCTCTTAACTCAATGCTTACCTAGTGTTATGCATGACCCATTTTCCCAACAAACCAACCAAAGATTAATTTTTTTAAAAAAAGATTAAACAATATTTTAAAAAAAGATTTAGTACATATATGAAATCTGATTTTTTTTCTCCTTTAGAGAGAAGACAAATGTTCAGTCTTATCATTTATTGGTGCAGCTTCCTTTTAAACTTCTTGTTAGCATGCTATGTTTGCTCAAATTTAAATCCTGTACCTTAGCCTACAATACTACTAATAAACATATTTATTTGGCTAGGATATATTTTATTAAACAGTGAGATTTTAACTTTGCATGAAGAAGGTGCCAGCTTCAATTCCCAATGTTTACAGTACTGGAATAGTTTGAAATCCTAGAGAACAGTGTCAATCACTTCATATAACACTGAGCAAGTTGCACCAATGGAATAACATAGCAGAATGCAGTCTCCTTAATTCCTACCTATTCTAGTGTTTGTTCATTTCTTCTTCTCTGTCATTTCTCTTTGTCTTCTCTTATAGTTTTGAAGAATTCCAATGTTCCATGGTTGGCAGAATTCTATTAAATATTTCCAAGATGCTCTTAGAAAACTCTACTGAATGTTTATAAATTAAGTTCTTTAAATAGATTTCAGTGAGGCATTCTTACGGATTCATTGATAATCCATTCATGTAGTCAACATTTGTGAACAGTTAATGCATCACCTTCTGATGATGGAGTATAAGGGTAAATTTCTGGGGATGAATTTGTAGAACACAGTTAATAATCAATTAGTGATAGGTTGATTTGTTATTCTTTTCTTCTTCCTCTTCACTCTTCTTATGTATTCAGCATTAAACATCTTAGCAGAAAGGATAGCAGACATAATGCAAGAAGTAATCTAGCATCAAAACATGGTAATTTACAATCCTGCTTACCTAGTTTGTATATTGGGACAAAGTTATGCTTATTATTTTATTCCTGTTTTGTTTTATATGATATATAGTTAGATTAATTTAATTTCACAGTTTTAAACTGCTGAAGTGAAATTGGAAGCCAAGTCTCATAGGTGATAATCAGAAGTTCTGGGGCTGGGTCATGTTTGCTGTCACAAAATTGACTTTACTGCATCATCTTTCTGAATTATTGTTTTTTTATAAAACCTGTTCAAGGATTATAGAAACTGGCCTTTAGGAAATCTATTTGCCAGACTGAAAGTTTTTCATTAATATCTGTTTGCTGAATTCCATGTAAATTGTATTCATGGCTCACTTAAAAGCCTATGCACATTCAGTTTTTCTCCTTCAAGGATTAACTTCGAATTCACAAGTATCTGAAGGAAAAAGGAATCATTTGAGCTGTATTAGCAGATGACGTTGGGTTTAATTGGAATAGTCACTTGATGAGTCTTTTGGTTTCTACACTTCTAGTAGTCCTTGATTTACAACCATAATTGGACCTGAATTGCAGTTGTAAGTCATGACAGTTGTAAGTCAAGGCACCCACATAACCTGACCTAATATTACAAATGTTTTTACAGTGATCATGAAGCAAATCATACAATTATAAACCCAAACCCAATCTCCTGAATGGGTATGGGCCAGAACTGGTTTACCTTTTCTAAGGCTATCCTAACTCCAAAGAGTTGTTAAATGACAGGTTGTAAGTCAAGGACTATTGGTAATTGAAGACAGCTATAATCAGGAAGTTGGTTTGCAGGGAATGCATTATGACCCTAGCAGAGAAAATGATATTTATGAAAAGAAAATAAATACTGTGATGCCAAAAGCCTTTTGCTGGAAACTAAACTGAATAACTCTATCTTACTAAAAACATGCTAAGGTGCTTCCAGGTAATCTGTTTTTCTGTAGTCCAGTATTAATAGTTTTCTTAGCATTTTTGTGGTCTCATTTATCAAGAAACTTTATAGTAAATGTCTATCAACTAAGAATGAAAAATATTACTTCTCATTTTTATGTAGTAATGAGCTAAGAACAGTACACACCGCTTAAACAATTTATTTACTTATTTTCCTAAATGGTAAAAGCATAGTTTTGGATATTTTTGGATATTTTTACGGTTTTCCAGGTTTGATTTTTACACTCCTACAAATTGTAAGTCACCCAGAGTTGCTTTTTGAAGATTGGATCACCAGCTAATCTGGCTGGATCACCAGCTAATTTGAAAACCATCATGGATCTGCTGTTAGAGCCCTTGCAATTTGCCTAGCAAACAAATAGATCAACGGATGATGCTGTTAATATGTCTCTGCACTATATCTTACAACATCTTGAATCTCCAAAGACCCCTGCAAGGGTCGTCTTTGTAGACTTCAGCTCAGCATTCAATACAATCATTCCAGATATTCTTCTAACTAAACTAAACTCGCTAGTTATACCTGACCACACTTGTAAATGGATCATAAGCTTCCTAACAGACANATGTGGTTATGTATTAAATCTTGGTATATTTTATGATGAAGGACATTTAAACAATTATAGTCAAATGAAAATGGAGGTATGATGATGGTAACATGTATAAATATCTGAGTTAAAATACTTGAGTTAATATGAATTATGTTTGTTGACTGTGGAAGAGATGCACAAAAGTCTGATACATTTTCTGCAGTATGTAAAGAAGGGTGTGTTGTGTTTGTTTTGAAAATAAAAAATAAAAAAAAAATATTTTTAAAAAAGAAAAGCCTAAAATCAGAAGCTAAAGTTGGTTCAGGTTCAGGAGGTAGCAAAAGCAATATTTAATGTGTAGTGGGGGATTTAGATTTAATTGGCAGCACTTTTATTTTATCTCCTTTGACTCAATTGTTTTTAATTTATGTTTCAGTGGGTATTCATTATATAATGAAAAACTATAGAATAAATGCACTTAATGCCACATCTTCGATTAGATTTGTTTGGTTGGCAACCACAATAATAATAATCTACTTCTTTCATATTTGCAACACTAAACAGTCTAATAATAATCTTTCTATCTACAGTTTTGTTTCATTAATTCTTTTAATAGCCAGTTATCTGCTCTGCTTAAGAATGATGTGCTTCGCCTAATTTTAGTATAATTCTAGCCCTATACTTTTATGCACATCTTCATCTCATGGGAACTTTCCATTGTTCTCATAGGTGTGATTAAAAGAGCAATAAGAATAACTGCAGAAATAATGAAGTGGTGTTACCCTAACTTCTGAAAAAGTTAATGTGTATACTGAATTTTTCTTTACAGGGTTTAGCAATGGGGATGATGACAGAATACTACCATTACATCTTTACTACACTGGTAAGTAGCTTTAGAAGAATATGCAGATGGTCTCAGGCATCACTCTAAAGCATTCTTCATTATATTTCTTGACAGTAATATAAAGGTATTTTGCTGAAAGTAAAAGCCGTTTTGTAGGTTCATAAGCGGGGGAAAGTATTTAATGTTACCTTTATTTGCAATTTGATTGTTTTGGCAACCCTGTGATCACTGACAAACAAGCTGCTCATAGTTGTTTAATGGGGGAAAACACCAATAAGAGCTGGTTACTTCTTCTAGGCTTTGTTCAACATGCTGATTTTGACACTAAGGAAGTGTCAGGAAGTTGTATTCATAAACAGGAAGTATTCTCAAGATATAGGTTGCAATCTTTCAGGGATTGCAAGGGTGAATGGAGAAGACTTCAGGGTCAGGGTGACATTGTAAGAGAATATCTGTAGCTTGGGGCTGAACCGTGGAGTCCTTAGTGATCACTGAGTTTGTTTATTTGTTTGCTCGAGGACATTTTATTACCCAGTTATGTGACATCACTGCAATTGGATAATGAGATGCCTGCAAGCAAACAATCAAGCTAATAGAGAGCACCAACAATTCCTTATAATTGCTTGCCTGGAGAATCTCTGAGGAGGCACAATGAGCCATACTCTATCATAGTTTTCCAAATCTTTGGGGACAACAGTGAGCACATGGTAGAGTCCTCCTTCCTGTTTGGTGACTTGAATTGTCTTTTGATGTTCTGGACTACAGGTAGGATTCAGGAGAGATTCTGTCTCTCTTTGCAGTCATGTGGGTTAGGCAGACAGAGTTTATGAGGTTGTACTTGCATATGTTAACTGGGGTAGTTAAAGATTTTCTCAATAATGTGTTCTCTGGGTGATTTTTTAAAGCATATTTATTGTATCAAATCAATTTGGTTATGTGTTGGGAAACCCATTCAGTTGTAAATAGACTCATAGTACCTATTCTGCTGGTCTAAGATTGGATTTACTGCCAAGACATTTTTCATTTTAACCTGTTTAATATGTAATACTAGAATCTCTTTCAATGAAGCAGAATGAATGGAAGTTATTTACTTACAAGTACATAATACTAGTAATGTCATGACCACCTATTGCCATTCTTTCATGTGTCCTCGGCAGTATGCAAAGAACAAAATAGCTAGAAAGGGGCATCTATCATGTTGTGAAATGGAGAAATTCAATAGGATTGCTCAAGGAATGGCTACTTTCATCTGCCAGCTTTATTTGCCACCTGTAGATTGCAGAGTGCCGAGTCCACTAGAATGAAGAGTTCTGGATTGTTTGTTTTGATTTAGATGTCCCTGATTCCAACTGACCCTTGATAACTCACAGCACCAAAAAAGACAAATATATAATCTAAAGATAATAATAATAATAATAATAATAATAATAATAATAATAATAATAATAATAATAATAATAATNAACTATAAGTTGAGGACTACTTGTATTAGAGAGGCTAATGTGGATAAGAGAGATAATTTCAAAAGAAAAGAAGTTGCTATGACCATGTTACCAAATCCCAATTAAAAAAACAACTAATGATTAATAATTAGTCAATGTAATGAACCAGCACTCTTGGTTCATTTAATATTCTATTTTTAATTCACAAACTGCATGGTATCTTAGAAACTGAGTGAGTATATACATTTATACAAACAAATAATAATGTTTTCTAAATCCTGCATACAGAAATGGTGCCAGATTATTTAACCTATTCAAGGCCATATCATGTTCTTGATGAACTTTGATCCAACTTGACAAGAGTGAAGAGAAGATAGATGGGAATCTTCGCATAAATCTTCTCATAAACAAATGTGGAATAGTGGTATGTGGAAATGGAGTGTCAACTCTTCATTACCTCTCTCCTTCCACCTTCTCTCTAAATTAGGCTGCTAAATGAAGAAAGCAAAGTTAATCAGGAATGATTATCTTTGGACTGATATTAAAAACAAAGTTTGGGTTGGAGAACATGCTTAGAAATATATATTTGGCCTGATCCTCTATTTTGCATGTGATTCCATTGTAAAACTAGTAAAAAAAATGATTTTGAAAGAATACAACACCAAATTTGAGGCTTACTGAAACAAGCTTTGTTATATAACATAAACTATGTTTAACTAAAACAGTTTAATGGTTTAACCTGATTACTAGGGTTCACGTAATACAATGAATCATAAACTAAGAGGCTGACTTAAAAATGTTATAGTCTAGTATAATATGAGCCCCAATAAGGAAATGACATCAGAATTGGAAGCCTGCATGTATAAGATATTTACTGTAACTATTTCCCTTTTGCTTCTTTAAGCTTTCCATTTTAAAAGTTGTGAACAATTCCTTCTTTGTATGTTAAGTTCTGTTTTAGGATTCTCTTCCAAAAAAACCCCAACTCATCATCTTGTTTCCCAAGTTTGATAACTGTGCCACAGTGGTTTACTTGTGTGAATGGCTAATTGAGTCACAATGCTGGCATGCCAACCATGATAAGCCAAGAAATCCCTGCAAGGATCACTAAACATTTTAGCTTTATAAGAAGAGGGAAAGAGCATGTATGCACCATTGAGTCTTGATTGGCCAACAGTTCAGAGAGAAAATTGCTGTTGGGCTCTTGATCTCTATGAGCTCCATGGATTCTCTAGATAGGCTTAGGTAGCAAACAGTGGAGTTCTAGAAGATCTCAGATGGATTGGTGATGTGTTTGAACTGACATTCAAAAGGGTTGCAAAGGGGAAAGGCTGTTTGTCTGCAAGTGCCCTAAACTTGCAGTATGTGGTGCGTTCCAAAGTATCAAACCATGTTTTAGTCAGACAAGTTGGACAAATATAGCCACTGTAAAAGGAAAGGTATGGAAACCCACCTTTAAATAAACAGGATAGATCATGAGCTGTTAAGAGTCAGCAGCCAGAATCTTAGAGAGTTCAACATGCAGATATATTGTCATGTTGTACAGCATCCTGTTCCACAAGTTTTCAAAATGAATATTATTGTTCTGACCTAAGCTTCCTGAGACAGTAAAAAGCACATGCTTAGTCCCCAAAACCCTCTTTTCATTTCAACAGCTGTGAATTAGAGAGGGCAGAAATGAGTGAAAAATGCCCCATTTGTTGGCCTCCCCCGGCCCCCAGCAGCACTCTATAAGCTTCCTAGAGGCTATCCATGCCATTTTTAAAGAAAAAATGGGCCCATTTTCGCAAAAAACAAGCCATTTTTTTGCTCATTTTTGCCCCCCCCCCCCTGGAGTACTCTACAAGTGGCTATTCATGGCCCAGTCCTGTTTTCGTGAAAAATGGGCCATTTTTGGGAGATTTGCAGAGTGCAAAACCTTTTTTTAAATTTTCCTCTTCAAAACCTTGCTGTGTCTTATACTCTGGTGTGTCTTGTACTCTGAAAAATACGGTAATTGGCAATTAGCTTTGCAAGGCCACACACAACAGAGTCAAAACGGAGCTTCAGATTTTAAACCGACCAGAACGAACAGTTGCTTCCTGCAAAGGGTCCTGTGCCTTGCCCCTCCTTTATCCTCTTATGGGGGGGGGGAGCCAATCATCTCCAACCCTTACTCCTAAGTTGCCCCTTTTCTGTTAACTGTTCTTGTCTTCTGGCAGCTCTGCGCATGTGCACACTGGGAACAGGCTCTCCCTGTTCCTCTGCCTCACTGATGTCCAATTCTGGACGCTCCGGAAGCAGAACATAACTCTCAGATGGCTCTGGCTCCCTCTCTGCCTCTGACACAGAGCCCTCATCCAAGCCTTCCCCAGACTCCAGAACTGGCCCATGTTCCTCCCCAACCTCCTCACTGTCTGACACTGCTGCCAGCTCTGCAGGCCGCTAGCGTACCATGATAATTATCTCAGATTGGTTATGACAATGCAGTTCAGAGGTGGTATTCAGCCGTTTCTCTCTGGTTCAGGCAAACTGGTAGCGGCAGTTGCGGAAGGCTGCACCTATTCACCCCAACATGCTCACATTTTCAAACCAGGAGGGAAGGTAAGTGAATCCCACCACTGATGCAGTAGTGTTGCAGCTAAACTTTGAGGGTGCTTTGGTATAGATCAGGGGTCTCCAACCCTGGCAACTTTAAGCCTGAGGGACTTCAACTCCCAGAATTGGAGCTTTGCTGGCTGGGGAATTCTGAAAGTTAAAGTTCTCCAGGCTTAAATTTGCCAAAGTTGGAGACCCCTAGTATCGTTTTCTAATTTTTGCAACCAAAGAGGCAGACATTTACATTGCTGGGAACCACAGTTTAGCTGCTCACATATGATTATGGCAGTTCCCGTTATGTTCAAGATACCAACTTTGTTTCTAACCCTTTTATTGTATTTATTAGGCTTTTGTATCACCCGTCTTGTCTATGAGACAACTTTTCTGGGGAAGAGACAAAATAGATTTCCTTTCATGGCAGAAAAATGGGGCCTATGATAAGAATCTCTACATGAGCAATGTTCCTTGTAAGGATAAAAATTCTTTTTTACTCACCCAGAAAAAGTTAGAACCAAGTTGCATGGCCTAAAAAATAAACCGCGAAATTTGCTGACTACAGTTAATTTTTCACCAGCATTAAAACATTTGGTTCCAAAATGTTTACTAGAGTGAAGCTAGCTTTTAAAAACAAAAAACCACTGGCAACCAAGGAACAAGAACAATAAGTTAGTCCATCAGCCAAGCTGCATTATTTATAATGTACCAATATGCTGTAAGTGAACAACAAATGTAGCTTTTGATAGTTTCCATGTCAGCAAAAACAAATGGGTGCTTTATAAGGATTAGAGCTGACTGGTGCCCTTGTTTTATAGCCGTCCTCCTTTGTACATAGAAAAGGGTTTTCACTGCTGAATTATCTTTTTTTTATATAAGCAAGGATTTTCAAGGTACCTAGGTGCAAAATAAGCAAACAAAAATATGTAAAAATAATAAAGTAGCCCTGAAAATAAGTATTTATTGCTTCTTGTGTATGTAATTATAGTTATATATCATCTAGTTTAAATCATTATCAGACTACAAACTTGACTTTTCCTGAAGCATTTGATGGACTGAAGTTTAGAAGATCTCTTTTAGCTGTAGAATATTTATACTGAAATGTGTTTTAGAAAATGGGGTAGGCCTTCAAAATTTTTAGCAAGGGGGGTCTCTGCATGGTTGCTGGGTGGGTGTGGTCATGGTGGGCATGGGCTACTCAGCCTCCTGCACCATGGTCAGGGGGCATTTTTGCCCTCCCAAGGCTCCAGAGGCTTTCCTCGAGTCTCTAGAAGGGCAAAAACATCTCCCTAGGCTCCAGAGGCCTTCTGGAGGCCAGAAACGGGCCCATTTCCAGCCTTCCCAAACTTCTGTTAGGCCCATTTTTGCCCTCCCTGAGCCTCTGTGTGTGCCCTGCACTTACCTGCATCCAAAACAGGCTGTGTGGGGAGGGGAAGGCTGAGCAGGGCCCATAAGGAGTGGGATTTGGGGGTTCTCCGAACTGCACAGAATCTTATCTAGAGGTTCTCCCGAACCCCTGCAAACCTCCAGCAGCCTATCCCTGGGTTTGGGTCAGACTCATTATCCTTAATACAGACTCTGTATGTGGTTGAAAGCTTGTTGTTTCTTCCTTGGCTCCTGATGCTTTATCCACAGTTTACTCACAGATTCCCTTTTGACCCTATAGGCTTTCTATGAGGACCAGCCTTCCAGAGTACATGTGGGTGATCTCGTGGCTTGTCCTTTATTTAAATAAATTCTGCAAGTTCAAGTTCACAGATCAGTTATTCATCTCCACCAAGATGTCATCTCCAGTGATTGGAGATGCATCAGGTCAACTATTTACATCTCTAATTGCCGATTTTTGCTTGGTGTAAAATACTTCTTGGGAGTTATTTAATCAAGTTTAATGTAATGACAACATCATGAAGGAGAGTGGAATTCTTATTTATTAAACAAAGAGGTGATTAAGAAAAGCCTAAAATCGGGAGACGACATGCGATCTCAATGCTCTGAGATTGCCATCAACACTTTTGCTGCTGGGTGGTCCAAACGGACCTAAACCGTCCCACAGAGAAGGTGAACAGGAAGAATATGTCTTGCTGATCTCAGGGACATCGCAAAGTCCCTGATCGATTCAAGAGAAGTTCTTCAAG